TGCTCATTTACATTCATGTGTTCGATCAACTCATGTTGCTGAATACATCAAACCGTCTCAACACTCATATTTGATTGTGAGTGAAGTGATTCAAACCGAGCGCTCGATTCGATGCGAAAACTGTCATTCAATTCAAACGACTGCATCAAACAAAATCATGTAAGAAACCGAGTGTGATTGAATTTTTGCATACTCGTTGCAGCCCCCTGTTCTATACAAGGTTATTATTAAACAAAGACAAGCATATCTTTTCAAAAGAATAACATTTAGCAGATCCATTCGGCGATTTTTGGCTAAAACTTTTTTGGTACTTGGGTTAAGTTGACGCAAGTTAAACGCGCTATGTCTTCGGTTTTCGTACAACTCAATACGTGTTACAATACTCAAGCTCTTTATTCAGCATTAGTTTTAATAACCTCCTTCTACACAAGATTATTATTAAATAAAGACCAGCATATATTTTCAATAGAATAACATTTTACAGATCCAATAGAGGCTAAAAGATTATACGTTGTAGAAGGAAAAACTGTATGTTTGAATGTATGTCTGAATTTTCGACTGATTTCCTTTATTTGTCACGAAAACGTCGACCGATGTATGTGTGTCATGTTCCGCAACCGGAGTTGGAAGCCATCACGAACTACAAATACCGCTGTTAGACAAACCGTGAAAAAATATGGCGAAAATCATCAAAATACCGGATATTGCGAGGTACCGTTATATGAGGGATATACAAAACCGTGGATGTATAAGCACAATGTTGCACCACCGGAGCGGGCACCCTTTATGAACTACAAATACCATTTTTTAGACAAATTCTATATATAATTGGATATGATTCAGAATCAGCGTGAAATTCTAAGCAATGTCCGTCTGACTGTCTGTCCGCCCCATATAACGGTACCTACCGACAGTCGGTATTTTGATGATTTCAACAACATTCTTCACCGGAATAGTTTCAAACTTCGTTTTGGAAAATTTTAATGGGTACTACAACCTATAGCAAAAAATTTCGTATGCAGGTCCACGTCTTCGCATAGGCCCCATATAACGGTACCTTCCGATATTCGGTATTTTGGTGATTTTAGCGACATTATTTTCCGGAATTATTTCAAATTATGTATTTGAAGTTCGTAATGGGTACTACAGCCTATACAAAAAAATATATCGTCATAATTTTTGCATATATAACGATTTTAGATAAAGAAAATAGGATGTGGTCAATTTTTTTCCATAAAGATGCCGAAAATTTAATACCGGCATCGGCCAGATTCACGTGCAGATTGTGTGTCTGTCTATTCGTCTATAAATACATATCCAATTCGATTTTCCGAGCTTTCATCTCTTCTCCGAAGTAGGTCAGTTATATCTTAACAATAATAAATGAGCAGTAAAAGCAGAAAGTATGTCCACAGAGATAGTATTTGCGCTTTCTATTTTATGTAGGTAAATCATCTGTCATCTAACATTCACAAAATCAACGAAATTTATACAAAATGATTCATGTAAAGTTTATTATTTACTTTTTACAACAGAAAATATAAAAGTATGTTATAAAATTATGACAAAGCCAGACTTACATTAAGCAAGCATATCTTCATATCTTTCTTAACATTGACATGGTCCATGGCTGCATTACATAGGTCAATGTTGTAACTAGTCCATAGTTGCTGAAATGGATCACGTACTCCAGATTTTTTAGGGAACTAATGGCATGATATTTGTACTAAAGCGAATCTCCCATATTGTAAAATGTTTGCTATGATATCCGAAAACGTATTAGTTCCTCAATATATTACGGTACCGGCTGAATTAAGGTGTTTTGTGTGTAATTTGTGTCGCCAGTATGTAGGGAACATTATTGAAAAGAACTGTTTTAGCAGGTCTATGTATAATCCTCACAGAACTGTGTCATATTTTTACTGAAATTGTTCCAAATGTTGTATCTGAAGTTCGTATGACAGAAAATTGGCTTTATAAATTTAATATTTATGTTTTAGTCACATTTTTAACGAAATTTTTGGAAATTTGGTATTGCAAATTCCTAGTAACAGAAAAATACAGCTTAAGTACTTAATTTCAGTACTTATAGACATATTAAATTTTACTTCCAGTTGGGGAGGGTATTACTAATTCCAACTGCCTATATTTGGATGGTAATGTAATAACTTTTTGTACTAAGACCTTCTGCGACCTTGTAAAATAGTTGTAACATATTTAATGTGGAAGGACGACCAAAAAGTTATACAAATTCGACAACTATAGTATTTTAGCAAAAATTGTAGGCGGGCTGCTGTATTTAACGGCCATTTTAAATTGTTGTGCAGATGTAAACATTACTGTGAGGGTTTTCTCTTAAACGATATACAATTCAGAAATCCTAAAAGCCGAACAAATCGAAAGCTTCTGCCTTAAAGATTCATACCCCCTGAAAAATTCAATTGGTAAATACGATTCAGACCTTTTAAAAAGGGGAATAACAGCATTTGGTAGGGAAGGTTTACCTTCATCTGTAATAACAGCATATTGAACCATGGTCGGTTTTTTTATAAATTGAATCAATCATTTCGAATATATGAACTAATAATCTTTCCGATAAGGCTCGAATTATTTAAGGAAAAACTTTGAAATTGTGTACAGATATTTATATTCATGTCATGTTCGTTAATAGGTCATATTCGTCCACGTTTATGTATAAACTCCATTAGTGACAATTTGGCCCACATTTTCTAATATTGTCGATCGATAGATTTTATAATGGGTTGTGTACGTATGTGCTTGTTTTTTACACTCTCGATATGATATTCAGATATGATGATTTCAGACACATTTTTACGAAATTGTTTCAAATTTAAAATTTAGAATTTGTAATGAGATTTTTCGAAGCTAACGGTACTTACGTATATGGTACATATAGTAGATTTAATTCACATATTCAAACATATTTATTTAGAATTCAGTATTTCTAGCGTGTAATGCTGGCAGAAAATTGTCTAAACTGGTTTGTTATTATAGCTTGTAATCTATCACTTGTAAAGTATCTAAAAACTTAACTGATAATGAGTATTTTAAATGCCAAAGTAAACTGGAATGTATTGTAAAGAAAATTTCGTAATTTTCACTAATTTTATGTTTTATTCATTTTTAGAATGTCAAGTTTATATGCTGGTCATAATTGTTGATATATTGCACTCAATTATAGTTTTTATGCCCCCTACCAAACTTTGTGTGGTATTTAAACTTTGTCACTCCATATGTATAACATAATAAAAAAACTAAATATAAAGATTTTATTTATAATAAGTATTTTAAGTGCTAAGATAACCTGGATTGTATTGTAAGGATAAATTGGATTTAATTTACTCACTAATGTCAATCTTTATTCATTTTTAGAACGCCAAGTTATACTCTCCATAATTGTTGATATATTGCACTTAACACGGTACTTTGACTATTAAAGCCACTGTTTCTAACGGAATTGTTTAAAAAACGATGTTTATAGTTGGAAATAGGAAGTAACTCCTATGGGAAAACATTGTTTTCCACGTTTTCCTACAGTTCCCATATTACGACTGCATTTATTAAGAGAATTGTCTTAAAGTTAGAGTTCGCAATATATACCCTCTTCTACGTGTGGCGTAATTCAAGATATACGTAATGTAATCAACAACATTAATATATTTATTATAGAAATTGCTTCAAAGATGGTGCTTGCAGTTCAATAGGACTATAATATTTTGAAGACTTTAACTGCATTTTCCAACCGATTTAGCAGCCATTTTCTATTTAAACTGAACGTCATTTGAACCTTAAAAGTCGAAATGCGACCGAACTTAATATTTTTTTATTTATAAGTTGGAAAGTATGTAGAACATATCTTGATAAGTATTTTAAATGCAAAATTAAACTGGATTGTATTATAAAGGAAATTTCGTATTTAATACACACTAATTTTATGCTTTATTCATTTTTAGAATGCCAAGTTTATATGCTGGTCATAATTGTTGATATATTGCACTTAATTATAGATTTTATGTAAACTTTTTCACTTCTTTTGTATAATTTGAATCTCTATAAACAAATTAAATTTATAAGCATTTTTAGTGCTAAAGTAACTTGGATTGTATGGTAAAGATTAATTGGTTTTAATTTACTCACTAATCTCAAGATTTATTCATTTTTAGAATGACAAGTTTATATGCTGATCATAATTGTTGATATTATGGCACTTAATTTTAATTTTATGCCCTTTACAATTTGTCGATCCCTTGGTACCACCTCGAAATAAACACATTTGATCCAAGAAAGAATAAATATTTGTAATCAGCGTAGAATTCGAAGACGCATAGGCGATGTCCATCTGTTAGAGTTCGTAATGAGATCTATCTTTTGTTGCAGAACATTATCTACATGGGTCCAGGATTTCACATAGTCCCCATATACGGGACCTTCTTTTCGTACAGCCTCTTGTGAGCGTAACTCTCGATAAACATAATTTTGGTGATTTTTATAAATTGTTATTGAAATTTCTTCTAAGTTTACAGTTTGTACCATACCATAGTCCTAGTATTTTGAAGATTTTAACTGTATTTCCCAACTGATTGTGCTTTGTGTCATTTTATATTTAAAGTGAAACTCATTTGAAAATTTAATATCGAAAGACCCGACCGAACTGTTTTTATTTTTATTTACAACCTAAAAAAGTACGTGGAAAATTTTTTTGATAATAAATATTTTAAATGCGGAAGAAAACTGGATGGTATTCTAAAGAAAGTATGGTTTTTATTTAGCGATTTATTTTATGATTTATTTTATGATTTATTTATTTTTAGAATGTAAAGTTTATATGCTGATCATGACTGTTGATATGTTGCACTTAGTTTAAGTTTTATGTCCCCTACAACACTATGCATGGTATATATATCATGATACCTTCTGTATTCTAATAGGATCTATATCCAATTGGAGAATATTGGCTGCATTGCTCCAGGTTTTCCTATTGCTCCGTATATAACGGTAACACTTATCAAGGGAATTGTTTTATAATTTTGTATGCAGGTTAACGTTTTCGTACATTAAAGTTTGGAATGCCTTAACATAATTTTATAAACAATTTCACAAGAAATAATGCTATTATCTGAAATATAAAGTCCCGATGCTTGTTATTTTTTTAACGGTGGGGGTATGAAAACATCGACCCTGCTGAACTTCACTCCAGTTGAGTGTAGTACCTTTTAATTTTTTGAGACTCTGATGATCCAGAATATATACACTTTGTAGGGTCTATTCTGAATATTTCGAGGAGTTACAAGCGGAATGACACAGCTAATATACCCTCCATATAATGTTGGAAGTTATAAAAATTATATATACAGTTATTTACAGTTAATTTAAAATATATATATATATATATATATATATATATATATATGTATATATGTATTTTAATAGAAAATAAAATAGAAAATAAAAATAAAGGAAAAAGTAACAGTGTTATATGAAAACGGGCATATATATAGACAGAGTTGTACAATATGACGTAGAATATATATATATATCTGAAATATATATATATATATATATATATATATATATATATATATATATATATATAGATATAGATATATATATATATATATATATATATATATATATATATATATATATATATATATATATATATATATATATATATATATATATATATGTATATATATATATATATATATATATATATATATATATATATATATATATATATATATATATATATATATATATATATATATATATATATTTCAGATATATATATATATTCTACGTCATATTGTACAACTCTGTCTATATATATGCCCGTTTTCATATAACACTGTTACTTTTTCCTTTATTTTTATTTTCTATCAGATATTTCTTTAGTTTGGTATTTGAAATAATATGTAATAAATTTAGTTGGTACTGAGTACTCTTAGTACTAAAGAAGACTGAATTAATTGAATTATTAATTAAAATGTCTTTATACCTAGACATTAACTTCACGATTTATTCATTTTCAGAATGTAAATCATATATCTTGGCCATAATTGGTTATATATTGAATTTAATAATTTAAACAAGCGTTTTTATACCATCTACCATAGTGGCTACATTAACTCTGTCATTTTATAACACCTCGAAATGATGACGTTGGAGCAATATGCAGATTATTGAACAGCATAAAGCACGAAGTCGATTTAGAGATGTAGACTATATGAAGACGAGTACATATTACTATAATACAACTTAGACCAAAACTTGGATATTGGGAACACAAACAATTTTCATGGAATTCGGTTAAAAATTCTAACCCATTGAATCAGTTATAAACCAGTAAAGAAAGTCTTAAAGTCGGGCGGGGCCGACTTTATGATACCCTACACCACTTTGCTAATTTAGTAGAGCTCCACATAACAATTAAAAGTTCAATCATACACGCTATGATTATAATTATAATTTAAAGTTCAAAGGACTAAATATGCCGAAGCATTTGTATCTTTTAAATTCGGAATTGTATTGCCCATTTGGTGCACAATTAATTTGAAATCGGATAAAGATATATATATGAGTGCTATATCCAAATTTGAACCGATCTCGATAAAATTTGGCAAAGATATTTCTGAGCTGTATTTGATATATTTCCCTGAATATCGTTGTTACGGAGTGCATACTACGGTTGTGGGTAACAAATATAACAAATCGGATGAATAATATATATGGAAGCTATAGCTAAATCTGAACCGATCTTCACCAAATTTGACATACTAGCTTCTAGACTCAATTCGGTCGTAAGTGCCAAATTCCATCCCATTTGGACAAATATTAGACGTTTGGTGCACAATAAAAGGTAAATCGGACGAAGTTATATATGGAAGCTATATCCAAATCTTAACCGATCTCGATAAAATTTAGAAAGTGTATTTCTGAGCTGTATTTCATGTATTTCCCTAAAATATTGTTGTTGTAGAGTGCATATTACGGTGGCGGTGGACAAAAATAACAAATCGGATGAACAATATATATGGGAGCTATAGCTTTATCTGAACCGATTTCGATCAAATTTGGCATATATATTTTCAGGCCTAATTTGGGTGCATATGCAAAATTCCATACAATTCGGGCTGATATTACAGGTTTGGTGCAAAATAAAAGGCAAATCGAACGAAGATATGTATGGGAGCTATATCTAAATTTTGATCGATTATCTCCAATTTCAATAGGGTTCGTCCTTGGGCCAAACAAATGATCTATGCAAAATTTCATCTGGATCGGGCAATAAATGCGACCTGTACTTTGTTTACAAAAATACATGGACAGACGGACGGACGGACAGACGGACGGACGGACATGCATAAATCGACTCAGAATGTGATTCTATGCAGATCATCAAAAGGAACTATGGGTCTATCTCGTTTCCTTTTGCCTGTTACAAACAAATGCACAAAGACATAATACCCTGACCACCTTGTGGTGTAGGGTATAAAAACGTTAATCTATGTGGTCCATTTTGAAAACGACAAAATCTACGGACCTTAAATACATTTGAGCGAAGTATATATTTTTTATATATAATTCTAAGTCGACGTAGAACGTCAAACAAAACAATTTGTATTGTATCTGGGTAGGTTGGTATTGAAAATGATATATCGGTCCACGTTTTGGTATAGTCCCCATATAACGGTACTTCCCGATATTCGGTATTTTGATGATTTTTGCCACATCTTTTCACGGATTTGTCTGTAAATTGTTTTTTATAGGTCATAAGGGGCTTAGTTCGTGTGGCGAAATACTGTATGTATGGGTCAACGCTTTGGTATAGCCCCCATATAACGGTACCTTCCGATTTTTGATATTTTGATTATTTTTGGCACATTTCTTCGCGGATTTGTCTAAAAATTGGTATTTGTGTGTCCTAATGGGGTCTAGCTCCGTTGGCGAAACATTGTATGTATAGGTTTACGTTTTTGTATATCCCCATATAGCGGTACCTACCGATATTCGATATTTGGATGATTTTTGCCACATTTTCCCACGAATATGCCTAAAAATTGATATTTGTGGGTCATTATGGGTTCTAATGTTACTTTTAGCCTACGTTGGAGGGTCCCGGCCGAACTTTATGTTTTTTATACCCTACAACACTATGTGTTGGGGGTATTATAAGTTTGATTGGGCCAAAAATTATGTAACACCTCGAAATATTGGTTTCCCACATAGGAAAGTATATATGGATCTTCCTAGCTCGTCGAGCTGAGTCGATCTAGCTATGTATGTCCGTCCGTCCGTCTGTCCGTCTGTCCGTCTGTCCATGTTAATTTGTAATCACTCTACAGGTCGCAATTATGGCCCGATCTTCACGAAATTTAGAATGTAGGTGGGGCTTGGACCAGAATAGAACCCTATTTCTTTTGGAGATGATCGCCAAATGTTTAGGGGTTGAAATGGACCAAATACTGAAAAAATGTCGGATTTTGCAGTAGCTATACAGGTCGCAATTATAGACCAATCGACGCGAAATTCGCATGTAGATAGAGTTTAAGGCGGGGAAGAAGCCTACTAATTTGGGTGGTGATCGGATAATATTTAGCGGGTAAAATATACCATATCTTTTGTGTTGAAAAAAATCAAAATTTTTCATTAAACCGTGAATATTTTAAATCCCGGCGAAATCACAAAGCCATCACAAGGTTACTGCTGACCTTTACATTGATGTTATTATCCAACAAATCGGATATATAGCAAAATATGTGCGATATATATGTCTATCAAAGGAGATATGCTTGAAAGATCTCTTATATGTCGAGAACGGCTGAACTGATTTCGACAGTTCTCATTAATTCAGAATGGCCTCTTGGCAGGAAAGAAAAAACGTCTAAAAAATCGCATAAAAATATCTCTCTAAAGATGAAAATATTGATTTTCTAAAATTTTTTCATATTTTTTTCAATTTTGTCATATTTTTGGCATATTTTCATTTTGAATTAAACATTTGGTAATATTTCTACAGCTAACAAAACTAAGTAGTTAGGATATCAGGATATCATATACAAATCTCATTTATGGCCCGATCCTTACGAAATTTTGCATGGGGATAAGATGAGGGTCAGAATAGAAGTCTACTCTTTTTGGAGATGATCGCTATATATTTAGGGGTTGAAATGGACCAAAAAACTACAAAATTGTCGGCAGGTCGTAATTATCGCCCGATCCTCACGCACATTTGAATGGGGGTTACCGCACATTGCAAAAGCCACGCAGTTTTGGATGGCCATCCAAAAATATTCAATGTGTGAAGGAGTTTGCCAACTTTTGTAGACAAAATACGAAAATGTCCATTCCAGTGACTTTTTGGAGAATTCACAAGTATAGGAAAGACGCACTTCTGACCATTTCGTTAACGCTGATTTCGTTGAAGAATATAGTCAAATGTCTGTATCTCATATAGATGCGTTTCAGTCAAAAACCAATAATAAATGTTAATCTTTTGCCACTTCTGAGAGATTATAGGTCTTTGGGAAATATTGGTTCCAGATCTAGGAAGACCATTTACGTGCAACATCTACCAATAAATTGGAAATGAGAAATTTGTTTAAGTTGCTATTATTCGAAAATTAGAGAACGAAACCTGATGGTTTTCTTTTATTATTTGTCACAATATCTTGTGGAATTCCGTCGAGTATTTCGCCTATATAAACTGTATGGTTTATTATAGTGTTGTAGGGTATTCAACGGTCGGCCCCGCTCGACTGTAGCCTTTGCTTACTTGTTTTTTACTTGTTTATGGTAATTAATTTTTTCTGCTAATAAATACACATTTCAAGAAGTTACAAACGGGATCACAAACTTAATATAATATATTTATATACCCTTCTATACGTAACATACCGCCCGGCATGTGATAGAATTGGTCATGGTTTTCGTATAGGCATTTTAAATTTCATAGCCTCATATTTGATAAGTATATACGTTTCTTTACGTGACTT